CATTAGCTTTTCTTTTTTTTTTTTCAGTAAGAGGTTTTTATTTACGTAATAGAATTTTTGGACAAAAAAAATCGCAATATATTGCCTTGCTTACAGTATCCCAATATATCGGGATATATCATATCGTGACCCCTCTGTTATGATATGAATCGTATCGCCAAATTCTTGCCAATACACAGCCATAGTACGTATGAAATCTTGTAATAAGGCACCAGACTGCACAGAATATTTTCAAGGTTTGACCAAAATGGTTCAGACTTTTTGATTTCATTGATCCTCCTTCCACAGCAGAAAGCTTGATAACAGAGTTTACTACGAGCTTTGTTTCTTGAGATCTGAAACCTGAGCAGCACCTGAGTCAGAAACACAACAACAACAACAACAACAACAATCGGTCCATCACCGCCGCTCCACACAGATTAAACACATTCATTTTGCATCAAGTCGAGCAGAGTCTTCCGTGAAACCCGATCGGAGCTGCAGCTCTGTGTGAAAGGCGTTCCCTGCTCTGTGTAGCATGGAGCTACATGGAGCAGAATGAAAAGGGATGAATAAATAATGAGGCGTAAAAAAGAAAAAGAAGAAGAAGAAATCTTACAGAACACCAGCTCTGATGTGTGGATGACACACCTGACAGAACAAGATGGAAACTTCCCTCTTATCACCTCCGGCTGGAACACAATGCAACAGATGTGAAGAAGTGAGATAAAAAAACAGGCAAATTTAATCTATATAAAAAAATATTCCAATCTCACACACAGATGTGTTTGAGAAAACCGCCCAAAGCCACCGTGGAGAAATCAGTCACACCTGTTTAAATTTTCCATTTTCTSTCCAGAAGTGTTCGCCTGAAGACGAGACACGAGGTTTCACCGTGACAAGGATCTGTAACGGACTCCATTTAGCAAAAGAAAACAAATCTGAACATTTCCACACCTCAAGTTATGTTTTTGCAATCCTGTTGTTTTTAATGTAAATAAATAGCTTGTAATGACGGATTATGTTGACGTTGGCCTTAACCTTAACTAATCTGTTCAGACTGAAAAAAACAAACAACAAAAAAGGACCTGCAGTAAAACAGTTGTCTGAATTTTTGCAGCTTTGTTGCAACCTTTGTTTTTTCTTTTTTTATCTAGAAGAATAAAAGTGAGAGTTGGTCATTCAAAGTGTCCTACAGGTGTAAGACAAAAGASGAGTTGTGTCAGATTTATCCACTGGCTTTGATCCACCTGTAGCCCCCAGCTTCACAACTGAAAACCACAAAACTGTCACTTTTATACAGGTCAGCAACCAAAGCAGAATATCACATTTTATAAAACAGAAATGTTCCAGAATGGGATGAAGATGATCACCTGGAATACAGTATGTTTGAGCAGATGCACTTAGAGTAAAAAAGAGGAACCTGATCCCCTCACTACAGAGGCCTAAGTTAGACTTTTCCTTTTTCCTGTGACCATTAAGACCTCATTCATACCTGGCAATAGAGATGGGATTATGGCTTTATATTTAAAGTGTATCTTGTAGCTTGCCAACTGTTCCACCCTCTGACTGCTGCAGGGGCGTGTCTTATGGTGCATTCACACCGAACGCGATTTCAGCATCGGGAGCAGCAGGTTTACATGCAAAGTCTATGGTGGACGCGCTTCAAGCAACGTCGGGAAGTGCTGCGGCGCCTCAAGCGCGATTAGAGCAGCGCGATTTGAACGATTTGAACGATCTGAGCGTTCGACRCGCTGAGGCGCAAATCGCTGAAGTTAGAAAATCTGAAATTTTGCAGCTCGACGCGCCGCGTCAACCAATCAGAGAGACTCCACTGTGTGACGTAGTGACATATTTCCCGACGGGACAGTTTACTGAATGATGTCCACTAACCTGAAACAGATGGAGAGGAGCTCTTTAGCTGAAATGAGTGCTGCAGTCAGTGTCCTGATCCGCAGCAATGCGTGACAGCGACTCATCAGACTGGAAAAATAGTCCTGAAAGCGAGCTGTGAGCCTCTTCTCTGAATTATCTGGTGAATTAATTATGAATTAATTATCTGATGAACGTGACATGCTCTTGCTCTCTGTAAATAAAGTAAAGCCACTTCCTCGTCCGACATTAAACAGAGCCCGACAGAGGAGGGAGGGGTGGGGAGGCTCTTCCTGTGCAGCGCTTCAAGAGCTGACCTGCGTCTGACCTCAAAGTGCACAAGCTTCMAACTTCAGCGTTGGCTGCGATTTTGAAGCTGAAATCGCGTTCGGTGTGAACGCAGCATTAGATAGAGGTTTTTATACCAGAACACAGCCGCTGTGACAAAACCGTGGAGAAGCACGTCACAGAGGAGAGCCGTTAACCAATATGCAAATTAGCCTGCAGTACCACTGCTCTACCCATATGAGCAGCAAAAAGACGTTTTTAGACCAAATATTACAGATTTGAACAAATACTCACAAAAACATCAAAATTAGCACAGAAACAGTACTATATAACATTTTAGACACATTCTAGACAGTTTATCAGCTAAAAAAAGTTAATTTTGGGGTAAGTTACTCTTTAAGAAGATGGATCTTGTGGATCTGCTCCTTTCAAAGAACTGTTTAATTGTGAACAGTCACATATACAGCCAGTGGCTCCTCTTTGTTTTTCTTTTTTGTCTCAGAATAGCAGAGGAGCAGCATGTTTTGTCTGCATCTAAAGGAGGAAAACAGGAGGAATGACTCAACTGTCTGCGACAGTTCCCAGCTTTTATTTTTTTAAGAGTCGCTCAAACGATTCATATAAGCACATCTCTTCCTGGCAATATAATCAACATAATCAACAATTTTGATTATAAAAATTAGTCAATAGGGAATTTTTGTGTCGACGCATCGTATTATTTCACCACGTAAATGTTCAATTGTGGCTGCAATGCAGGACATGAACCACTAGGGGCAGAATGAACATACTGGCCTGCAAACTTGATAGAATATCACTAAAAAAAGAAGAAACCAAATGAAGGCGGYGGTATGGAATGGAAAGATTGTGGCGAAGAGACAACAAAAAAATAAAAATTAAAAATTAAAAAAGACCAAAGCTTTCTTAAAGTATGGCAACATTTTACTGAAAATAAACCAAAGAAAAACGCTGACTTGGTCACGCAGAGGTCATCCCATGGTAGCACAGCAGCAGTCAACACATGAACATCTGAAATGTCCTCTCCAGGTGGGTAAGTTTCAGAAAGCTTGTTCATCAGGTGGATGCCTCATAGATCTTATTTTCAGTGACTGACCACTTCGTGCTGCAGTCAGTTGTCTAAGGTTTTAGTTTCCCATCAGAAAACAGTGTCTTGGAAGGAAATGCTACATTAACATTAGCTAACTGACATTAAATCTTGGTCAGGTTCAATGCTGCTCATGCTGGGGGAGAGGCTGATATTTTGAGTTATTTGAGCATTAGCTTTCTGTCTAAAAACATTTGCAGTTTAATTTGTATTTAATGGAGTTTTTCTCATCACATGTATTAATGTTAAATCTGATTAAGCTTAGGTTTTATGGGTCACTATTTGAATTTGCTATGGGAACTTGTTACACTACAGTAGAGACCGGATAACGGTGACATTCTCAGGTGTCAGCAGGTGAGATAAGATGTGCACTGGAGCTGGAACAGGAGGTGCGCTCACAAGAAGCATAGATGGAGAGTGTGACAGAAATAATAGCAACTAACAAAAAAAATAACTGACAAATTAGTCGACTTTTGAAATTGTCTTTAGTTGCAGCACTACCTGATTGCATTCACASAGCACTAATAAATAAATACATAGTTAAGCTGCTGGCTCATTAAAAACTCTTAGGTTTTAAAGCCTAAATGTAGAATTCATCATTAAAATTGTCAGGTTTTTTGGTATTATTCAGAGTGAATAATTAGAACAGGGTGTGGTGAGTTTCATATRCTGTAGTTCTAATTCTTTGAGCTTTAATTTGTTACAAATAAAAAAGTTTGTATCCAAACAAAACATATAGTTTGTTWTAAATGACCCCCAATTTTCTTTTAATTCCTATCAATTACATGGAAAGCATCCAATTTAATCGGCTGGATCACAGACTACCTGACAGACAGACCAGTGTGTCTAACCATGTGGTCAGCAGCACAGGAGCACCACAGGGAACTGTACTCTCACCATTCCTTTTCACACGGTACACTTCTACAGAAATACTCAGATGACTCTGCAGTTGTTGGGTGTATCAGAGATGGACAGGAAGCTGAGTACAGAGAGCTGGTGGACCGCTTTGTGACATGGTGTGGGAACAATCATCTCATCTTGAATGKSAAHAAAACAAAGGAGATGATTGTAGATTTCAGGAGAAACAGGAACAGGTCCAAAGCTATTTCTATCACAGGAGAAGAAGTGGAGGTGGTTGAGGAATATAAATACCTCGGTGTTCATCTGGACAACAGACTACACTGCACACTCAACAGTGAAGCAGTCTACAAGAAAGGACAGAGCAGACTGTACTTCTCGAGGAAGCTGAGATCCTTCAATGTCTGCAGCAAGATGCTGCAGATCTTCTACAAGTCTGTTGTTGAGAGAATCATCTCTTCTGCYRTCATCTGTYGGGGCAGCAGCATCAGAGCCTTTAMACTTTAAAACTTTAGACTTTAAAAAGCTCAACAAGCTGATAAAGACGACTGGCTCAGTTCTTGGGACTCCAAGAACCTCTGGAGATGGTTGTACAAAGAAGGATTCTTCAWAAAATGAAGATCATTATGRACTGAGCATCCTCTTCATCAGACTGGCATGCTACAACAGAGTGTCTTCAGTCAGAGGCTTCTTCAGGTCCGACGTAAGACTGACAGTCCTACAGGAGATCCTTCCTGCCCACAGCAAACTGTGTCTATAACAACTTTTTAAAGAAACCAGKTTTATATGGCTTACATTTCATTTACCTTAGGGATTAATAAAGTATTTTTGAATTGAAATTAGTACATTTCCCAAATCGCCTCCATCTCCACCTCCCATGGAAAGTTTTTAGGAAAATTCACCAAGTTTTTGCCCCTTTGCAACTTTGTCAGCAAGTTTTTATTAAATCACTTCAACAGGTTTAAAATAGATTTGTAACTTTAGACCAGTGTCTACAACATTGTGGGGAGGCACCAAAAGACCGGTCCAGAGCCCAAACCAGAATTTCAGCATCTACGTATGTTCTGTTTTTAGGGGTGGCCTTTGACCCCCCYGGTGATGACCCTCTGACCCACCTGGAAAGCTCTGGGTCACAGTGCTGATGTAGGAGGTGCTGAACACGCCGACCCGTGCGCCACGTCCGTTCTTCATGCACATGCAGACGCACAGGAACAGGGCCGCCACCGCCCCCATCAGAAACACCACGCCGAACACGATGCCGGAGATGGCAGTGCCCCTGAAACACACACACACACACACACACACACACACACACACACACACACACACACACACACACACACACTGAGTGAACCACAGAGTGTGGGAGCTTTCCTCCTGACACACTGCCGTTACATCAGCCGTCGCTGCCATGGAGATAAACCACGCTGATGTCAGTCAGCTGTGTGTGATAGCTGCAGAGGAGTCTGTGAGTTGGCACTACGAGATACGGGAGGGCGAAAAAAGCCTCATTAGCAGGTTTGGAAAGCGTTCGCTGTCAGCGTTAGTCAGAACGTCACATTTAGTCCTCGCTGGTTTGAAGAGCACCAACCTGTCCGAGACGTTTGGAGCTTTAAAACCAACAATCAGACAGATTTTTGTCTGACAAATTAGGTCAAACCCTCTGTTAAAGGACAGCCGGTGTATCTTTTTGTATTTAATCCACAATTAAAAAGCTGCTTTTTAGATTTAAAAAATGTGTATTTTGTTTTATTTTTTTACAAAGTGGACACAAAGTGGCCTACTTGTTGTTTTGAGGTTAAAATCGCCCACGAAAAAGTCACTTCAGACAATTTCGGTGCTGCTTGGGTGGTGGGTGGAAGCACTCTGGACTCTTTATTTCCAGCAGGAGATAATGGAGGCTTCCAGGCGACAGAGGCTGTTATAGCAGCTCATTTTAAACCTTTTTTTCTTCCCCGACACAAGAAATTCTGTCCTGCAGATCCGTCTGACATCTTTAAAAACTTTAAAAGCAGAACTTCACAAAAAATAAGTTGTTCCTTTATTTTTGTGTCACGCTCCATGAAAAGAAAAACACAAATGATTAAAAAGCCATTGAGGTTTTTCATAAAAAACTGATATTTTCCCCTCAATTAATATAACTTACGAGAGGACGTCGCCCACATAGGTGTAGTAGGAGCAGCAGAAAGGTGGCGACCCATCACAGCAGTACTCAATACATCCTTCACAGTGTGCTTCAGTACTTCCTGCAAACACACACACACACACACGTTGACCATTCAAAGATAAATAAAAACATACATCAGCTAATAAAAAGGAACTTTGTGATTTGTTCCAATAAACTCAGTCAGGTCTCCATTCTTGTGTTTTTTCTTTCTAAATCTCAAGAGGAATTTGACAGATTTTTTTGTTTTCAGATACAAAAAATAAAACATCGTTGCCAAAATAAACGTTTTTCTACTTCAGCTCCTTCTACACACCTGAAGGAGTTAGGTTACACGACAAAAAGCAACATGCAGCATCTCAGAGTGATGACGAAACATGAATTATTAATGTTTTTTTCTTCATGAGCAGACTGAGGCAGTGAAAACCAGCCCACATGTCCCACCTGCTGAGGGGAAAAAAAGCCTGTAGGCTGTTTGAGGATGACGGACCAGTCTGTCACAAGAAAAACCTCCATCGCATTGAGAAACCAGGATTTGAGAGCTTGGTACTGTGATCTCTTTAGAAGTCGTTCTCTCTTGCGGCAACGTCCAGGGAGGTTGTCCATCCATATTCCTGTGAACCTTAGACTGTTTTATAGTCTTCATCTTTAACATATTGGTCAGTCTTTGTCTTTCTAAGCTCCTGAGGCAATATGTCCTCAACTTTCCATGGTCTGTGTTCAGTGTGCTTACACACCATGATACCAAACAGCCCTGTGACTACCTGTCTCTCTTTAAAAAGAGACGGACTCGATATGAGACTGAAGACAGCTGTAATGCTGATTACAGCCTTTATTATTTTGTCAGTTTCAGCTTGTTTCAGTGAGCACTGACACATTTATTCACCCTGCAGTAACAAAGCAGGGCTCTAGACTAACTTTTTGCACTGGTTGCACCGGTGCGCCTAACATTTTTTCTTTGGCGCACCAGAGTTAGGTGCACCCAAATTTTCAACCACATCGCATTTAACATCAGAGTTTTACAGTTTTTTTTAAATCACTGTTCATTAAGGCAAAATTAACTCGAAAATAATTAGTTAATCTAGTAAACATGAAGTTCTTTATTTGAACCAGAATTGTAGACATTTAACTTACTGAAAAGTATTTAAAGTGATTCTATAAAATTCTAAGTGCAAATGTTTACGAGCTGAACATCTTAAACATTTCATGGTTAAATTATTTTAGACACCTGCCCCTCAGATGGACAACTCCTGTAGTTTGGCCCTCTGGATCTTTGGCCTTGGATAAACCAGAATGATGAACAGAGAATAWTGRTTAATATCAGAAATATTACTGATATTTATTAAAAGGTTGTGCAGATTTTTTAAAAATAATAATACATCAAAGTCTGCAATTGCATTAGCATTAGTTGAATCTTATTATATTATTTCACTTAAACATCTAATATGTCTAGTTTTATCCTCCTGAGACCCAGAAGAACTTATTTCAGATACTTGGAATGTAACTGTGGTGAAACCGATTAAGTGCAACAGCAGCCTGCCATACAAGTGAGCTTCCTCATGCTGCTGAAATGATCTGCAGCTCACAGAGTAGACTCCAACTGTTTAATTAACAAGATGGACTTAAGAGCGAGCAACCGTCCACATCTTCTTTTCATCTCCACAGTTAATAAGAAAAAAATGTTTTTCAAACTCCGATCTGGGTAAAAAAAAATACAGTTGTTTCGCTATGCTATAAACAATGCAATATGATGTTTTTTTTGTTTCTGTGTTTTATGAAAAACTTGATTACATAAATTACATTTTTATAGCTATTCTGGTCATTTATTTATTTCCAAAGAACAAAAATCATTTTAGGGACCTAAAATATTAAAAGGGAGATTCAAGTCAGCCTCGTTCTGTACAGTCAGATCAGATGTGTTAGTATTTTTAAAGCTAAGAGATCACCTTGAGAGTTCACTTTGATTCAAACCCCCGCTCTCTAAACAAAGCAGATAAAAATGATTTAATGTTTTCAAGAATAAAAACTAAAAACAGATACTGTAACAACTTCTGATGAAACCTTTGTATCATCCCTGCTCTAGAAAGTGTAAAAAAAGGCAATATTTTACTTTAAAACGTTCCTGAATGCACATTTGATCACAATACAAGGAATTAGAAGAAAACATCTTAATATTTAAGAAAATTGGCATAAAACACGTGATTTTACACTCTTTGTCACTTAACTGGTATATACAAACCCTGGCAAAAATTATGGAAACACCAGTCTTGGATGAGCACTCAGACATTTCATTCTGTAAAACAAACTCAGATCAAAAACATGATACAATAATAAGGTCATTCCAAAGTGCAACTTGTTGGCTTTCAGGAACACTCAAAGAAATGAAGAGAAAACATTGTGGAAGTCAGTGAATGTTACTTTTATTGACCAAGCACAGGGAAAAAAATATGGAATCACTCAAATTGGAGGTAGAAAATAAGGACACACCTAGTCAATTTCCTTTCCCTAAATGAACACCTGCCTCATATTAGATCTGCTCATTAGTCTGCAGTTAAAAACACCTGCAGTCATGACACCTTGGAGGGCTGCTGGACCAAGTGGAGTGGCAAGAACCATGGCTCCACCAAGAGAAATGTCTCTTGAAACATAAGAGGATTGTGAAACTTCTTGAAGAAGGTAACTCTTCATGCATGGTTGCTAAAGATGTGGGCTGTTCACAGTCAGCTGTATCCAAGATATGGACCAAATACAAACAGCATGGAATGGTTGTTAAAGATGTGGGCTGTTCACAGTCAGCTGTATCCAAGATATGGACCACATACAAACAGCATGGAATGGTTGTTAAAGCCAAGCGTACTGGTAGACCAAGAAAGACATCAAAGCATCAAGACAAACAACTTAAGGCCATTTGTCTTGAAAACTGAAAAAGTACAACTAAACAGATGAAGTGTAAATGGGAGGAAGCTGGAGCCAATGTATGTGACCGAACCGTAAGAAGTYGCCTAAAGGAAATGGGATTTCAATACAGGGAAGCTAAAAGAAAACCAACATCTAAACAAAAAAGAACAAGACTACAATGGGCTAAGGAGAGGCAATCATGGACTGTAGATGACTGGATGAAAGTTATCTTCAGTGATGAGTCAAGAATCTGCATTGGACAAGGTGATGATGCTGGAACTTTTGTTTGGTGTCGTTCCAGTGAGATTTATGAAGAGGACTGCCTGAAGAAAACAACCGAATTTCCACAGTCCTTCATGATATGGGGCTGCATGTCAGGCAAAGGCACTGGGGAGATGACTGTGGTTCATTCTTCTATCAATGCACAAGTTTACATTGACATTTTGGACAGTTTTCTCATCCCTTCAATTGAACAAATGTTTGGAGGTGATGAAATAATTTTCCAAGATGACAATGCATCGTGCCTTAGGGCAAAAACTGTGAAGGCATTCCTTGGAGAAAGACACATTCAGTCGATGTCATGGCCTGCAAATATTCCAGATCTCAACCCAATTGTAAACCTGTGGTGGAAACTGGAAGAAGAAAAAAGGTCCATAAGAAGGCTCCAACCTGCAAAGCTGATCTGGCAACTGCTATCAAAGAGAGTTGGCAACAAATTGATGAAGAATACTGTTTGTCACTCATGAAGTCCATGCCTCAGAGACTGCAAGCCATTATAAAAGCCAAAGGTGGTGCAACTAAATACCAGTGATGTATTTTGAATAGTCTTTTGTTTATCTGTTTTTCATGATTCCATTCTTTTTTCCTCAGAACTGAGTGATTCCATATTTGTTTACCTGTGCTTGATCAATAAAAGTAACATTCACTGACTTCCACAATATTTTCTCTTCATTTCTTTGAGTGTTCCTGAAAGCCAACAAGTTGCACTTTGGAATGACCTTATTATTGTATCATGTTTTTGATCTGAGTTTGTT